TTTAGGGAAGTGATTATTCCACTTTATTTGGCACTGGTGAGGCCACATCTAGAGTGTTGAATCCACTGCCCCCTCTCCCCCCACCCCACTACAGAAAGGATATGGACACATTGGAAAGAGTCCAGTGGCGAGCAACCAAAATAATTTAAGGGGTTGAAGCACATTTTCTACAAGGAAAGGCTGAGGGATTTGGGCTTATTTAGTCTACAGAGTGCCAGGGGATTTGATAATAGTCTTTAACTACCTGAAGGGAGGCTCCAAAGAGGATGGAGGCTGTTCTAAGTAGTGGCAGAGGGCAGAACAAGGAACATTAGTCTCAAGTTGCAGTGGCAGAGATGTAGTTTGGCTATTAGGAAAAACTATTTCACTCGGGCTACGGCTACACTGTACAATTATTTTGGAATAAGCTATTTCGGAAAAAATACTCTGAAATAGCTTATTTTGAAATAGTGTGTCCACACTATAGGGAAGCCTGGAAATTAGTCTGAGGCAGGCTCCCCTAATGTGGATGTGATACCTTGATTTTGAGGTCCAGGAAGTACTGGGGAGTAATTACTCTGAATGACCTGTGGGAGAAGCTATTTGAAAACAGCAGCATTGGAATTTCCACACTACTGCTATTCCGAAATAGCTATTTTGGAAGAGGCATTCTTCCTCGTGGAATGAGGTGTGCAAATGCCAAAATAAGCTGCCTGTTACTTTGAAATTATTTTGAAATAACGGGCTAGCTGTGTAGACGCTTACAGTTATTTTAGAACAATTGATGTTATTCTGAAATAACGCTTTTGTGTAAACATACCTCAGGAGGGTGGCAGAGCTCTGGAATGGGTTATCTAGGGAGGTGGTAGAATCTCCATCCCTAGAGGTTTTTAAGTCCCGGCTTGACCAAGTCCTGGCTGGAATGATTTAGTTAGGGTTGGTCCTGCTTTGGACAGTAGACTGGACTTGATGACCTCCTGAGTTCTCTTCCAGCCCTATGATTCTGAGAGTTCTAAATCTAGTTAGCTAACTCAGTATAAAATCTTAGTAAAGAGAAAATAGTTTGTAGTTTCCAATCAAGTTAACTGATCACATTAAAGAGTAGTTTTCCTGTAGGTGTTAAGTCAACCTGCTAATGGGTGAACATTACAGATTGCCTTGTCTTCACTAAGAGCTTACTTTATGATTTCATGATCATAGAAATTATCTGAGAGTTCGTGATTCTAAGGAATGGTAGAAGGGAGAACGAGAGATAATGGATTTCAGGAAGGCAGATTTTGGTAAGCTCGGAGAGCTGGTAGGTAAGGTTCCATGGAAAGCAAGACTAAGGGGAAAAACAACTGAAGAGAGTTGGCATTTTTCAAAGGGACATTATTAAGGGGCCAAAAGCAAGCTATTCTACTGCGTAGGAAACATAGAAAGTATGGCAAAAGATCTCCTTGGCTTAACCAGGAAGTCTTGCATGATCTAAACATAAAAAGTGGAAACTAGGACAAACTACAAAGGATAAATATAAGCAAACAATACAGGTATGCAGGGGCAAGATTAGAAAGGCAAAGGCACAAAACGAGCTCAAACTAGCTACAGACATAAAGGGAAACAAGAAGACATTCTATAAATATATGAGAAGCAAGAGGAAGACGAAAGACAGGGTAGGCCCACTGCTCAGTGAGGAGGGAGAAACAGTAATAGAAAACTTGGAAATGGCAGAGATGCTTAATGACTTCTTTGTTTTGGTCTTCACCAAGAAGTCTGATGAAGGAATGCCTAACACAGTGAATACTAGTGGGAAGGAAGTAGGTTTAGCAGATAAAACAAAAAAGAACAAGTTAAACATCACTTATAAAAGTTAGATGTCTGCAAGTCACCAAGTCCTGATGAAATGCATCCTAGAATACTCAAGGAACTGATAGAGGAGTTATCTGAGCCTTTAGCTATCATCTTTGAAATATCATGGAAAACGGGAAAGACTGCAGAAGACTGGAAAAGGGCAAATACAGTGCCCATCTATAAAAAGGGAAATAAGAACAACCCAGGGAACTACAGACCAGTCCGTTTAACTTCTGTGCCAGGAAAGATAAGGGAGCAAGTAATTAAGGGATTCATCTGCAAACACCAGGAAGACAATAAGGCGATAGGTTTGACATGCATTTGTTCTTTACAAATCCATGCTGGCTGTTACCTATCTGAAAACTTTCTTTGATAGGATAACAAGTCTTGTGGATAAGGGAGAAGCAGTGGACATGGTATATCTAGACTTTAGTAAGGCATTTGATATGGTCTTGTATGCTATTATTATCAATAACTAGGCAAGTACAACTTAGATGGGGATACTATAAGTTGGGTGCATAACTGGCTGGATAACTGTTGTCAGAGAGTTCACAATCCTGCTGGAAAGGCAAAATAAGTGGGGTTCCGCAGGGGTCTGTTTTGGGACCTGTTCTGTTCAATATCTTCATCAACGATTTAGATATTGGCATACAGAGTATGCTTATTAAGTTTGCAGATGACACTAAGCTGGGAGGGGTTGCAACTGCTTTGGAGGATAGGGTCATAATTCAAAATGATCTGGACAAACTGGAGAAATGGACTGAGGTAAATAGGATGAAGTTTAATAAGGACATATGCAAATTACTCCACTTAGGAAGGAATAATCAATCTCACACATACAGAATGGGAAGCAACTGTCTAGGAAGGAGTACTGCAGAAAAAAGAATACTGCAGAAAGGAATCTGGTTGTTGTAGACCACAGGCTAGGTAGGAGTCAACAGTGTAACACTGTTGCAAAAAAAAAAAAAAAAAAAGCAAACAATTCTGGGATGCTTTAACAGGTGTGTTGTGAGCAAGAAACGAGAAGTCATTCTTCCGCTCTACTCTGCAGGCCTCAGTTGGAGTATTGTGTCCAGTTCTGGGCATCACATTTCAAGGAAGATGTGGAAAAATTGGAGAAGGTCCAGAGAAGAGCAACAAAAATGATTAAAGGTCTAGAAAACATGACCTATGAGAGAGGACTGAAAGAATTGGGCTTGTTTAGTTTGGAAAGGAGAAGACTGAGAAGGGAAGTGATAGCAGTTTTCAGGTATCTAAAAGGATGTCACAAGGAAGAGGGAGAAAAATGGTTCTCCTTAGCCTCTGAGGATAAGACAAGACGCAATGCGCTTAAACTGCACCAAGGTAGGTTTAGGTTGGACATTAGGAAAAACTTCCCAAGTGTCAGGGTGGTTAAACACTGGAATAAGTTGCCTAGGGAGGTTGTGGAATCTCCATCTCTGGAGATATTTAAGAGCAGATTAGATAGATGTCTATCAGGGATGGTTTAGATGATGCTGGGTCCTGCCATGAGGGTAGGGGACTGGACTCAATGACTTCTCGTGATCCCTTCCAGTTCTAATGTTCTGATTGATTCTATGAGTTCCTTATGTGCAATCACTCAAAGAAAAAACAGTCACCTTGCATAACTGTTGTTCTTCAAGCTGTGTTTCTTGTGTCCGTTCCAAACCCTCTTTCCTTTCCTGTCAGAATGTTCCAGCAAGAAGGGACTGAGTAGGAGCTGGGTCAGTAGGGGATTATAGACTGTACCATTGAGGCTCCACAGCCAACACTGCAGGTACCTCTAAAGAAAATCTTTCAGTGACAGTGCATGTGGCATGCGTGTATCCATGTTGGAATGAGCATGAACAATGCATCCTGAAGATCAGTTACAAAAGGTAACTTAGGTTTTTTAGTGAAGACAAGACCTGTAGAGTAGCTAGTCTAACCATTAAAGTTGCTTGAACTATGAACAGTGTGAGGAAACTGATAAATGAAAAAGAGCAATATTATATATCCTGGACAATAAAAGTAACATTTTACAAAGTTTATCTTTTTATCACAAGCTTGCAGATCATCAATTCAAGCTTATTTTATCTCATTTATTATCTCAATTTAGGGTCACAGGTCAGTTAATGAAACCGCCAGAATATCAGCCTGGGAACAAGATTATCCTAGAAATAGGCTGGAAGGAACTTTCAGAGATTAAGACCAGGCCTTGCCTCTGAGGACCAAGTAAGCCTAGCTCATCCCTGACAGGTGTTTCTCCAATCTGTTTTTAACAACTTCAATGGCAGTGAGGCTATTCCAGAGCTTTAGCTACTCTTACATTTAAAAAAATGTTTTTCCCAATATCTCACCTAAGTCTTCCTGGCTGCAGATGAAGCCCAGTATTTCTTGTCTTATCTTAAGGGAACATGGAGAACTGATCACTATCCTCTTTATAACACATCAGATTTCCCCCCACCCCCCACACACACTCTTCTTTTCTCAAGACTTAACATGTCCAGTTTTCAAACTTTCCTTATAGGACAGGATTTCTAAACCTTTTATTATTTTAATTGCTCTTTGTTCACATCTTTCCTAAAGTATGGTGCCCAGAGGTGGACATAGTACCCCTTCTGTGGCCTGACCCATGCTAATTATACAATAAAATTATGTCCTCTGTGACATGCAACACTTTTGTTAATATTCCTATTAGCCTTTCTTGAAACCCCATTACATTGGCTCAATTTGTGATTCACTGTACAGGAGGTGCCTGAGTTCCGACCCCCCGCACTTACAATAATTTTTGTTAAGTGCAGAAGGGGCCGAAAACTCCCAACTTAAGTCCTCAGCCCACATTTACAATGGCACATGGCGTCTATGAGGGTTCGAGTTACAATGCCCCTGACTTGCAACGTTTCCCCAGGAACCAATCGCGTCACAAGTCGGGGGCCACCTGTAACCCCCAGATCCATTTCAGCAGTATTACCACTTAATCAATTGTTACTAAATATTTTGAATTAGTTCTCTCTCTTGTCCTAAATGCTTACTATCTCTCCCAGCATGGTGTCATCCTCAGATTTTTATATAGATGCACTCTAAAATATTTATGAATTAAAGTAATTCTATGGGTTATAGCAGTAGGATGCACTGTTGTCCCTTGGTGGAAGAAAGATACAAGGTAGTACCACCTATGGAAAAGAATCAGTTAAACCAAAAACAATTAATTACTATACAACTTGCCTTTTATTAAAAGTCCCACAAAAATAAATCTTTTCAATGAATATAACAATATAATCTTTCTCGATAGACTATAAAAAGATCTCCTCATGCCAAAGGTCAAAAGAAGATGTATGTGAATTACTTTGTTTAATAAAAGATCTCGGAGAAACATGGAAGTCTACTATAGAAGACCTGCATCTGCTATATTGTAATACTAAAATACAAAAGTACATAAATAATTAACAGAACAACTAGGGAAAATATATTTAGTATATTTGCTTCCTGAACTAGTTTTGGACTTAAGATCAGAATCCATCCATTAGACAGTAATTTCCTCTCTTGCAGGCTTGTCTATTGATGCCATCTTCAGAAACTTCCAAACTTCTTCATTTTCAGTTGCTTCATATAACATATTAAAGTCCTCAAAGAAATGTAAATGCTTGTGTTAACAGCGTTATAGTACAGTTCTTTTTTGTAAAACCTTATATGTACGTTGTCTCAATACCAACTAGTGATGCCTGAAGGCTGTTGCTACACTTCGAAGGCGGAGACACCCTATTGACTAATCAAATAGTCAGTGCAAGTTGCATTGTTATTTAATTAGTGAATTACTTGAAATTTAACATTCCTATCACCAACTACCCTCTGGAAAGACTTTTTTGTCTTGCACAAACATTTTAACACATTCCAATTCATAACTGATTATATGAAAAGTTCAAAAAAATAACAATCCATATTTATTCCATGCACAACTTGCAAATGACAAATTCATGGTTAAGAAATTCTAGTTCTCTCCGTATTCCCAACAAATTACAAGATAACTTGAAAGAAACTGAAATTGAATTGCCATGTCCATGTTAAAAGTATATAGAATCTTTCATACAGTAGTATCACAAAATAGTTCAGGCCATGTTTGTCCTGTTACAGCTGTGTAGGTTCTATGGTTAATGCTTGTCTATGATTGCACAAAGAGGAAAAAGCTTGTAGACAGCTACTAAGGCCTTGCCTAGTCTAGAATTTAGTCACTGATACAGATTCACTGGTACAAATGTGTAGTGAGATTTGCATTGGGGAAAATTTACTCTGGTTTGAAACTAGGTTAAGATGTATGTGCAGAAATCATCTACACTAGTGGTTAGGGTGAGGGCAGCTTAAACACTGGTGCTTAATTCCATTGTAAACCAGATCCAAAGCAAGCACAAGCAATTTCATTATGTGATATACCTGGCCAGGATGAAGCCCAATTAACATTTGGAGGGATGTAATATGCCTTAACAAACTTGCTTTGCTGAAAAATGGCATGGCTAGTAGCTTCTGCATAACTCAATTGTGAACAGGGAGCTCTGAGTAAATAATCTGTGCTGCCCTTCACTGTGCAGACTGGTGGCTGTAGTGTTCAGTCACTAAAATGCCTTGGCATAAAAGTCTGTCTTAAAAAAAAAACACCTGCTATTTTACTTGTCTGATAGCTGACAGGGCTTAGCATCCAAAATTCATTTAAGGCATCCAGAATTCTCTGCAAACACGCTATTACTTATTGTCTGTATACTTATTATTTAAAAGCAAAATCTAGATTTTTTTTCTTACTCCACAGTAGTCATCCCCATTGAATATCTGAGGAGGTACTGCATTAGGATTACCAGCCTTCACCCTCATTTCATGAAGCAGATGTTCACTGATGGATACATCTATTAACTCATACTTCATTTTGTTAATGTCTAAAATTCGAGTAACTTCTGCTTGTCTCTGCTTCACCTAGATAAAAAGACACATTTTTTTAACTCCTTCTCACTGAAATATTCCACCTAAATTGCCAATCACACACAAGTTAGGAAAGCTCATGCACAGTCTATATCACTCAGATTTCCCTCTTTTCACCTTTTGTTCAGACTGGAACTTGGCATGCATGCTCTCAGCCTGAGAGAGGTTTACAAGTATTTTATTTTTAATTGACTATTTATCTGTTTCAAGAATCATTTAAAAAAACTTATGAGGGTCTGAGATCCCATCTCTACATAGTTGTGAGAAGGTTGTGAGCCCCCCCCCCCCTTTCACACAGACACATTATTTGCAGTTGGTGGGTGGGGATGCAGCCTAAGTAGTTGGCAGGAACTTATTTCACTGCTCAACATGTTTAAGTGGGGTTGGGAGGTAAAGGTGGTGCTGCCCCCTGCAGGTGCTAAAGCCATGCCTGATGCTGGCAGACACTATGAGGTTTGGAGGGGGGCTCTCCAGGGTGGGTAGACAGCAGAAGGTCTCTTGCTACTGGTGGGTGAGGGTGCAGCCTCCCACTTATGGAACTGGAGCGTTTCTTGCTGGTGGAGCTGTAGCCCCACGTGGGTAGAACTTGAGTCCTTCTGGGGCTGCCCCCTGCAGGTGCTAAAGCCATGCCTGATGCTGGCAGACACTATGAGGTTTGGAGGGGGGCTCTCCAGGGTGGGTAGACAGCAGAAGGTCTCTTGCTACTGGTGGGTGAGGGTGCAGCCTCCCACTTATGGAACTGGAGCGTTTCTTGCTGGTGGAGCTGTAGCCCCACGTGGGTAGAACTTGAGTCCTTCTGGG